GAGAATAATTAAATTATTGAAAGAAAGAGAAGTGAGAGGGAGAGAGAGTGTGAGTTGGAGACAATAAATATGGGTAAAATAGGAAATCAACACAAAAAAGTAGAGACAACTTTTAAGTGTCTCTTATATATAGGAACATGCCATAAGCATCAAATGTCTCTTATAATAAGGAACGGAGGGAGTAACTAAGTAGATAGTGTATCAAAGTAAAAAAGTCGTTTACTTTACAAATGGTGGTATTGATAATACTTTTACCGAGTTTCACTATTTCATCAATGGCATTGACAACAACCTTCAATGGCATTGACAACAACCTTGTTACGATTTTAACAATGAGGAAAAATCAAAGTGAATGACATATTAAAAATAATTTACTACACTACTAAAGGCATTTATAATACTTTCACCGAATTTCACTACATTATTAATGCCATTTACACCAATATTTTTTGCAATTTCAACACTTAAAAAAAATCAAAGTAAAGAGCCTTGCTAAAAATCATTGACTACTCTACTAATGGCATTTATATCACTTTTTTCCAAGTTTCACTACTTCATTAATGCCCTTTACAATAACTTCTCTATAATTTCAGCACTTGAAAAAAAAAATAAAGTAAAGAGCCCTGTTAAAAATCACTTACTACACTACTAATAGCATTTACAAAGACCTTTATCGAGTTTCACTACTTCATTAATGCCATTTACAAAAATATTTCTTTTTTACAATTTCAACACTTGTGAAATAATTCATCTATGTAAATAATTAAAATGTAAAATATAATAAATTATCACCATTTAAAATAATTAATCAATGTAAATTATAAAATTTATGACAAAGTATGCTTTTCCAAACCTTATAAATGCGCTAAAAACTTCTTTAGGTAATTCTAACTCAAGTAAATCGATTTTTTTTTGAAAACACCTAATTAATAGGGAATAAATTTTATTATACTCTACACCTTAATTATTTACATTTATTAATTATTTTACAAGTACATTTTAATTATTTGCATATATTAAATATTTTAAAATTGCTGAAATCGTATTTAATTATTTACATTGATTAATCATTTTACAAATCCATTTTAACTATCTATATTGATTAATTATTTTACTAGCATTGACATTGTATAAAAGTTTTTTGAGTGTTTCCTATCAATTAAGTTACTTCAAAAAAAAAAAATCTATTTACTTGAGTTACAATTATTTAGAGACACTTTTAGTACATTTATAAAGTTTGGAAAAGCATAATTTATTATAAATTTTTTACTTTACATTGATTAATTATTTTCAATGGCGATAATCTGATTATATTTTACATTTTAGTTATTTATATTGATTAATTATTTTATAAGTGTTGAAATTGTACAGAAGTTGTTGTAAATGATGTTAATGAAGTCGTAAAACTTGGTATTTGACCAAAAAAAAAAAAAAAGGAGTAAGACTTGATAAAAGTGTTGTAAATGATTTTTAACATACCCTTTACTTTGATGTTTCTTAGTGTTGAAGTTGTAAAACGATTATTGTTAATGGCATTAATAAGGTACTACTTCCGGTGCTTAATATAAGATCTTATTTGACTTTTATTTTGATCCTAAATATAAGGTTCTCATCTACTTTTTCTCTAATGTTTATACATTTTTTTTACCAAAGTAGTCCTTCTAATAATAATAGCTCTCACCACCACACTTGATTAGTAAGGAAATTTTAAGAAAGATAACGCCTATCTATTACAAATAACTAACTTAACTTGTTTCTTTAATCTCCTCAAATTAGTAAACTAGCTTTTATAATTAGGACTAAAGGTAGTAGTAGAACTCAATAAAAGTGTTCTTTATGCTATTAGCAGTGCCGTAAATGATTTCTAATAGGACACTTGACTTTGATTTTTTTCTAAGTGTTGATAGTTGAGAATGATGTGAATGCAGTAGTGAAACTCAGTTAATCGGACCCTTTATTTTGATAGTTTACCTTATGTATAATTTTGTATTATATCAACAAATCAGATAGGGTTGGTGGCTTAGCGGTCATTAGATCTTGTGGGATCCAAGGGATGATGCGATCAAATCTCACTTTGATAACCTTGGCCCCAAAAAAAAGGCGTCGGAGCGCCGTGGCCTGTTGGCAACACGGTTGCCGGTCATGATGGCTTTTTTTTAAAAAAAAAGAAGATAAAAGGCACTATTATAAAATCACCAATATTTTAAAATTTCAAGTTAGTCATAAATATTAATGTGAAGTTTTGTAAATTGGTGTCATAATTTTAGAATTTGAAATTCCAAATGTCATTTATTTGTCGTTTTCCTTTGAAAAATTGAACTTCATCAACCAACAAAACCTAAATTAACTATATATAGATAACAATTTGTGTAACAACCAGAAAAGTTTAAATTTAATTTCTTTTACCTATATACAATGAATATGCCTTTTAATACATTGCCATGATTTTAATGTTTTAAAAAAGATTTCAAAATAAAAATAAATTAATAATAATCATAATATCAGTAAGTTGGAGTTTTCTATTTTTAAAAAAAATTGTTTCGAAAAATTGCATATCAGAAGTCTTGTTAAGTTACAGTGTTAGATCTTACACAAATGAAATTGTGATATCATGTCCATTTTAGATGACAAGCATTGGAGAAAGTGTTGCAATTAATATTCCACAGAAATTGGCGGAAAAGATCATCACTGAATTTAAATATTTTCGTGATTTTGAGGACTACACACACAACTTTGTGATAGAAAACAACATTTTGGATGCAAAACAAGAGAATGTGCTGAAAGATATAGAAGATGCCAAGAAAAGAAACGAAAGTAAATTAGCGATTATGTTCAAAATTGGATCGAGGAGGCTAGTATTCTAATTCAGAAGAACACTAGAATAAAGCACACACGGTCTTAGTGTGCTTCAATAGCCTATATATTTAAATGTGCTTCAAAGTAGGAATTTCTTATTGAATGGAAAGATAACTTCAATCAATTGATGAAGTTACTTTATTAGATTAATGTCTCCATTTGTTGTTATTTAGAGATTAGAAACAGGGGAAAAAGTTGTGGGAATAGCTTCAGAGTCATCGATGACTACAACTTCAGAGTTATCCTTTGATATCAGGGGACAAGCCACATAATCAAGCTATACATCTATTATTGACAAGAACTTGTGTTCTTGGATGTAGGGGGGGGGGAAAGCATCCTGAAACAACAGTTTCTTGATATCTTTCATCATGCAGTCAAAGTAAAGAATTATCTGCTCATTCAATAAATGAAACTGAAAAATATTTCCTTTCTTTTGGCTTTCTTTTTAGTTTACTCAGAGTATCAAAGGGATAACAAAATCAAGTCTTCACGAGAATTATGCAGCAGCGGATGCCATGATAGCAATTCTACCAACTAATTCAAATTCAAAGAAGCAATCCACTAGGCCATTCAGCAACGCTAGAAATGATTCTGCGCAAGTGAGTCCATTGCCCTTTTCCAATACAGCAACATCTGAACTACGCCGGATATTTCCCAATTCAATTTCATCAGGAGGAGTTGCATCTAAATGTTCGATGCTTCAAATAGGAGATGGAGTGTAAACAGTCAACACATGAAGCAACTTCGCTGGGCCAACAGCAAGATCTTGAAGAAACAAAGATATCCATTGAAGGTGCTCATAACACCAAAATATCATTTAATGATGATGTGCGTTATAATTAATGTATCCCGACAGTTTTTGAAGTTGCATTATGATTACTAACCACTTTTTTGCGCTGCACAGAGTATTGATGTCATAGTAAAAGAAAGAGCTCAAGAAAGGCCTACCTCTAAGGATGCTAGATTAGAAACACTGTTTGCTGATTTAGCATCAAGGAATTTATCTGCAGCATCAATCACTACTCCACGGGAGGAGTTTCCATTGGTTACTGATTATTGTGTTATGCCTAGGAATATGCTAGATGACTAAAAGAAAATGTATCTTTTTTTTGCACTTCTTGTTTTAGGATTTGACAAAGAAAAAGTCAAGTGGAACAATCATGATAAACCAGCAAGTACTCGCAGAAAAGACATCTGTTGTATGCTTGAACTCTTCACAAAATATAGAAGCTAGAACCTAATGGTTATAATTAAATGACCTCACACGTTTTCGGTACTTATGCAGAGCGTTGGAAATGTTCAAGAGGACATCACAATTATGAAAGCTAAAACAGATGCGTCTTTCATTTATTCACAAGTAGAGGAATCACAGTCTGGTCCATCTGCGATGTTAAGTATTATTTATGTAAGTTTAAATACAAAGTACCACTCATTTACATCTTTGTAAATCAGTATCAAAATATCGACAACACATATATGGTCTCAACCAAATTTTCACTTTGTAATAAAAATAAAGCTAGATTATAATTAAAGGGCCTAGCACACTTGTACAGGTATTGGTACTTTTGCAGAGTGTTGAAAGCATTCAAGAGGAGACTACAACAATGGAAGCTAAAGGAGATACTTCCTCTTTTTATTCACATGTAGAGGCCTCACAGTCAGGTCCATCTGCGATGGTAAGTTCAGTATATAATGATGCAGAACTTTGGAGTTTATACATTCGGAAATGCAAGACCAATGAATTTAAATAACTTGTGATTTCTAGGTTGCTAGTATGGAAGAAATCGTGAAACAACCCTTTCAAGAGCACGATTCAAATGAAAACGAAGTAGCAATTCAATCATCCAATCTAGAGTTAATGAACCAACCAAGAGGATCATCGCATATGCTTTTTGAAAAAGAATTTGCTAAGGTAACTACATTAATTATATAGAAATTGAAGTTTGGTAGATTGTTTTGCCTTTGTATATCCATAACTATAGGATTTAAAGGAGGAAAACAATTATATCATTGATCTTGTCTCCGACTACTTTTCTGAGCCAATACAGATATGATGCTAAGGAAAAAATAATTAGTGAATAAATAGATAATTTATGTGATAACATTATAAATCAAATTTTATCTTTTGACCTACTTATCAATAGGGAAGAAAGTCGTTAGACTAATCTTTCATTTTGTGTCACGCAGACTACTAAAGAAATAAGAGGCATAAATGTTCAGGATGGACCCCATACTCCTATGAAGAACAACACAAGGCTTCCTGATGTTATTCCCTCTTTCTTTTTGTGATGATTTCAGATTCTCCTTCAGTCATTCATGGAGTAACTTTCTTGGCCGTACACATGTCAGAATCACAAACTGGTCTTGCTGCTTCTTCTTCTCCGACGCTGAAGATTGGCGATATCTTAGAACTGGTGGAGTTAAAAGATGATGAACCAGCTTTACTATCCAAAGCACTTGAGATATATCCCCAGCTAAGGCTGTCTCATGGACAACCTACCCGCTCAGTAATAGCTTTCTCCTACAAAGTGCTGACTGATATTTTGGTCATGTTGGCAACCAAGACACCTCGTACCATTACAACGTTAAAGAAATCAACGTTAGAGAAAAACTTGGGTACTGCAACATTTTTAGGAGTCGACAAAGGATGGATTGAATCAGTTCGAGACAAAGTTTCTGGCAATGACATGTTTGATGTCACGAAGGTGGAAGAAAAAATTAAGGAGATGAAGGAAAAACTGGAGAGACGTGACAGTATGTTGGAGCGAGTTCAAAAGCAGAGGGTAGAAATCAAACAGCGGATTGCAGGTGTGATTGGACAATTAGAGATGGTGCAGAGTGAGTCTGAAGCAATTGATTCTCAGTTGTGGGGTCTATTGGAAGATCGCAAGAAACTAATACAGAAGATGATGGAGTTTAGGGGAATAATAAGTGCCCAGGACAGAGCTTTTGGAATTTAGCTGTGTTTCATTTGTGCTTTGTTATTTCATGTTTGGCTCAAAAAGACTGAAAAGTAGGGAACCACAAGCTATACTATGACCACAGTTTCCCTAGTTCAACCAAATAACGAGACTTCAGAATTTTAAACTCACATGATGTAAGGGTAAATTTGGCCTTATATTTAATTTGTTGGATCATTGGTGTCTAACTGCTATTATACTATTATTGTGTGACTTGCATTCCTAGGTTTGTTTGACCCTTTTCATTGGAACTTCTCGAGACAACAAATGACTTAGCATTCATACATTCCCACAAGATTTTGCTTGTGTCAATATATAATCCTTTGGTCAGTTTTTTATAGCAGATATCAAGAAAGTAATCGTTTTTAAAATCTTAAAAAATCTGTTGTTAGATACTTGTAAAAATAAAGTTGCATCATATGTTTATCAACACAACCATCAACTACTGAACAACTTCTAATATACGCAGACATTTTATATAATTAAGAAATGTAATTAAACGTCTTGCGCAATTGAATAAGATGAACGAAAGTGAAGCAGAGAGATGAATAGGATGAATGACAGTGAAGGGGGGATTGCTTCTGTAATTTCTGTCCTCCGCCATTTGACTAATGCCGTCATGAAAATGTAAAAGTGGCATTTAAACTTGATTGCTCATCAGCCTTTGTCTCTTGCTCTGTTCTTCCATGGATTGAGGCTTAACTGGTCTGGCGATAGAGTTTAGAGCTTCAACTTTGCCTTTGAATAATAATGCATGTACGATGCAGAGGCTATTTCATTTTCAATAGGCCAGTTTATTTCACATTTGCAATTTTATTAGTTGCAGGCTATTTTACCATTACCATTATTGTGGTTATGATCAGAGGATGAGAAAGAGACGGAACCAAGTTTATTTTCTATCACAGATTGCTATAACGCCAACTTTAAGATTGAGAAAAAATAAATCAGCCTACTTTGGTCAAAAGTGAAGTCTACTGACAGCTCTATCACAATGATTCAATGAAAACTATTAAAGAGCTTCTCAACAACCATTTTCAAAATCGTTTCATTGTTTGCATAAAACAGGCAAGCTTTGAAAAAGATACACTTTTTTTTTTTGTTGTTGTTGAAAACGGCAAGAAGGAAATGCAAATACTTTTTTTTTTTTGAATTAGTAGAGGCAAGCGGAGCTTGATACAATCAAAAGACTAGGAGAACTCAGCTCATGTCACGTGCATAGTGGGCTGCACAAACAGGAATAACCTACTCAAAAAACGTCCGTGCATAGTGTCCATGTCAACAAAGAGGGGGGCAAAAAAAGCAGCCAGCCTTGCCTCTTTCATGTCTCTGCCCTTTGATCAATTAATGCCCCTGCCAATGCTTGTAGGGTCTCCATGTGAATGGTTCACGTACAGAATTACAGAAAAGGAAAAATCATAATCATAATTCAAAGTATGTATATGAATTAACTTAAGCTTCTAATGCAGGCTATAACATTACATTTGTCCAGTGAAGCATGCGGTTACTATATTATGCGATCTTTCAAATTTTATGACACAGAATAAAAGAAAACGAAAGGGGATGACTAAAACCTCGTAACCAGAAACTGTAAGAAAAATGCCAATAATTCATACGACAGTATATATTTCACCCAACAAGCTAATTCTCTTTCTTATTTATCATCTTCACTAACACTTCACCAACAATTCCACAGCTCATTCTCTCCAGTATCTTCCTCACTCCCCTTTCCTTCCTTCTTAAGTCTCCTTCGTGTTCCTTCCTTCTTCTTCCTAAACTTCAACAACCACAGTGGGATCTGATCTTCATCCTCAGTTCTTACCTTCATCTTCTTCCTCCATCCACTTTCTCAACTCCATACAAAGGAACCTCAGTTCTTACGCTCTGTGATTGCTTTCAACTAGCTGTGAAAAGAATCGAGTGGTTCCACGCAATGAAAAGAACTTTTGAAAGTTTAATAAGCTTTTCTTTGATCAAACTTGGGAGCATTCTCTCTTTAAGGTTAACTTTTAAGTCGTCTGCACCTTGACTGTGTCTTTTTAAAGTCTTTGTGCCGCTGGCACAGAAAAGAAAAAAAGTATCTGTGCCTTCAACTAGCTTGACATCTCTTCTTATTGTTTTCTTACTTCGGGAAGGGGGGGGGGGACTACATTGTATAGAGGAGTTTGAAAGCACTATCAGAAAAAAGGCTTTCACGGCGGTTAATAGTAGCTTTTAACGGCAGTTTTGAAGGTGACGTTGAAAGGTAAAGAAAACACGGCGGTTTTGAACTGCCGTGAAAAGTTGATTTTCCACGGCGGTTTTCAATTTAACCGCCCAAATAATTCATTTGAGGCTTACAACGATTATCCTCCCAAATTCCTTCACAATGATCATCTCTAACAGCATAGTCACCATCTACCAAATCTAATTCAACTACTTTAGGTCGAGTAGCTGTGAAAGGCGGGGTTTCATCAAGATTAAGCTATAAGTCACCATCATCTCCACCAACTCCTTGCCTTTTACTTTGAAGCACGATAGACAATTTCTTTTTTGCTAGATCGGGAACGAAGAACATTTGTTTTGCTTGACTTGCCAAAATAAATGGCTCGTCTCCATATCCAAAACTCTCAAGATCGACCGAAATAAATCCAAATTCTTCATCCACTTGCACAGCTGAAGTTGAACTCCCTTTGATTGTCGCTTTGGGGTTACTCCAAAAATTAACCAAATTAATGCAATATAGTGCAAAACTCGGGTCGTTTCACTTTGAGGAGCCGAAAACGAAATTAAACCCTAGTAAATAAATGCAAGTAACCTAAACTATAAAAAGAGATTTTTGATTTTGAAAAGCTGTTAATTAAATACTACGAATCAAATTGAAATTAAAATACTTTTTTTTTGTTTTTATATAAAAGTGATTAAAATGAATGGAAATTAAAGAAATGAAAATGAGAGACACAGATAACACTGATAAAAATCAATCCTCCAATTCAACAACGCAGGCAATCATCACTCTAAAAGATGTGGGAGTTAAAAACAATGAATTAAGAATTATAATTAAGCTTTTGATCCAACAACCGAGCCACCTCGAGTTGCCACAAAATATTTTCCTAAAATCCCAACTTACTAACTGCAACCAGAATAGTAAAATGGGATTAAGGATGCTAAAAACCAATGCTTAATTAGAACTCTTAAATCCAAAATAACAGAATTAAAGCTAGCAAGAGACTATATGATCCAAAATTCTAAGCCACCTTAGAAAATCACAATATATTAATTCCAAAATCAATACAAATGTCATAATCACAACATTATAATTGAGATCAAAACTATAAACAGCCCAATGTCAAATACTAAGCAATAATCCAGTCACAATAATCCCCAAATATAATCAGATTAAGCAATACAATTATCCCAACAATTAGAAAAACTATCCTAAGACCTAGGAATTGTTAAACAATTATTGAGTAGGAAATTAAAGCAACTAAAACTCCCCTTTGATGATCCAAGCTCCTGCCATTATTGTTGAATTAGAGAATTAGGAATTAGCCACGCTTTGCCATCAAATTCGCTGCCACCAGCAATTCTCTATTGCAAGCTTCCATGGAGGAGATGACGCCGTCGAGCTTCCTTTGGTCCTCTGATTCTGTCGCAACACGGAGAGGGAAAAAAATGATCGCCGTCGCTGGTCCCACTGGTTCTGTTGACGCCGAGAATAACTCACGGAGAAGACAGAGGAAGGTGATGAGGTCGCTCCAGCTCGTGTGTTGCTCTCTCTCCGTCCGCGCCTGTACGTGTATCAGCTGGTGTATCTCCTTCTCCAGCCGCCAGCTCCCTCCCGTGTTCAGCTTGCTCTGTTTCGTTCTCTTCTCCCTGCCGCGCCTCCCGTCTTCGTTTCTTCGTGGGTTCCCCTGATGATGAATGTAATATTAGAAATTAGGGGTGGAGCAAAACGCAGCGTTTTGCTCCCCCCTTTTATTATTTTATTTTTTTTCTTTTTTTTTAATTTATTTTTTTTTCTTTTTTTTTATTTTCAAAATCTTCCAAAAACCTGCAAGCAAAAATTCAAAGATAATGTAGCATTAATTGTCCTCAAAAATCAATTAGTCACAATTAAACCAAAATATGACAATTTTGCCCCTATAAAATAATAATTCAAAATAAAACAAAATAAATCGATTAAGGCAAAAAGGGACTAATTAAGCTGACAAAACTCATATAAAAGATACCAAATATATAAAAATAATTGAGTTTGTCAACAGCATTACTATTAACCCACTTACATTTGAAGACGGGAACTTTAAACTTGGTATAACTAACCTCCCATATCTCTTCTATTATTCCATAATAGGACATTGCCGCCAACATTGGGTTTCTGTCTTTAGAACTAGCAAAATGCATGGCTTCCGCTACTACCATCACCCCACTATTCTGCATAGTACTCTTATCGTCTTGGGTTTTTGTGTAAAAAGAATAACCATTTATATCATATCCACCTCAATACAAAACCTCAAAAGAAGGCCCTGCAGCTAGCCTCTGTATTGTCTCAGAAGGATTGCCATATTTTAACACTTCTCGCTTGAACCACTCTACAAATGACTTATTATGTTCATTAGCTAGTTGCATATCACTCTTTCTTAGATTCAAGTTCCCCAGCATATTCTTGTGAGCATTTAAGTAAAGCAAAATTTCATCCGTGTTGTTTAAAATGTATAGATGTGCTTGCATTACAACTTCTCTTGACATAGACCTCACTATGACACCCCGTGTTCCCTTGCTTCTTCTGCCTTGATCATGTCGAGATTGAGGAAGACCAACTACCTTTATCCCATCAAGATATGCGTTACAAAACTCAACTGCCTCCTCAGCTATATATCTCTCAACAATTTATGCCTCAGGCCGATAAGGATTCTTAGAGTACCCTTTTAGGATTTTCATGTATCTTTCAAAAGGGTACATCCGTCTTAAACACACAGGGCCACAAAGTCTTATCTCTCGCACAAGATGAGCTATCAAGTGGACCATAATATCAAAAAATGATGGAGGAAAATGCATTTCCAATTGAGAGAGGATCACATAACCTTCATTTTCTAATTCATCCAACTCAGCAGGATCAATGACTTTGCTGCAAATGGCACTAAAAAACATACAAAGTCTTGTAATAGTATTTCTCACATCGGTTTTCATAATGCCTCAAATAGCAAGTGGAAGTAATTGTTGCATCAACACATGACAATCATGAGACTTCATTCCCGTTATCTTCAGATCTTGCATTGAAACAAGTTTGCTTAAATTAGAAGAATAACCTTGTGGCACCTTAATACTATTGACAAAACCATAGAAACTTCTTTTCTCTTCATTTGATAATGTGTGCGTAGCTGGATGTAAATAAGCCCTCTTACCATCTCTTTCTTGTGGGTGAAGGACATTTCTTATTCCAATTTCGACTAAGTCTCATCTTGTATTGATTCCATCTTTAGTCTTTCCACTTATATGCAAAAGTGTACCAACAAGGCTCTCAAATACATTCTTCTCCACATGCATCACATCTAGACTATGCCTCACATCAAGACTTTGCCAATATGGAAGATCAAAAAAGACAGATCTTTTTTTCCATATATTTCTCTCACCGGCAGTCTTCTTCTTCTTCTTCTTACTGAAGACCACATTAATTCCCTCCACCCGCTGATAAACTTCTTCTCCAGTTAATGGTCTTGGAGCCATTTCATATTCTTGTGAGCCATTAAATGCCTTTTTCAATCTACGGTAAGGGTGATACTGACTAAAAAACCTTCTGTGACCAAGGTATACTGTCTTCCTGTCATGTTTAAGTTTCATATAGTGGGTGCCTTCTTCACATATCAGGCATGCTTTATGCCTCTTAACACTGTATCCAGACAAATTTCCATATGCTGGAAAGTCATTTATCGTGGTGAAGATCATGGCACGTAAATTGAAGGTCTCTTGTTTATATGCATCAAACACATCAATACCTTCCTCCCATAATTTCTTCAGATCCTCAATCAAAGGTGCCAAATACACATCGATATTGTTTCCCGGTTGTTTTGGCCCCAAGATCATCAAAGATAGCATGATATACTTTCTTTTCATACATAACTAAGGAGGCAAGTTGTAAATTACGAGCAGCACTGGCCAAGCACTATGTGTGCTACTAAGATTACCATATGGGTTAATTCCATCCGTACAAAGCCCTAGCTGAAGGTTTCTTGGCTCGCCACCAAATTGAGGAAATTTTTGATCTATTGTTTTCCATTGAGGAGAATCTGCTGGGTGACGAAGCTTTCCATCACATATTTTCTCATCAAAATGCCATCTCAAGTTCTTTGCATCTGTGGCATTAGCAAATAGATGCTTAAATCGTGGTATTATTGGAAGATACCACAGAACCTTTAAAGGAGAACCTTTGGTCATCTCATTATAATCACCATCATCTTTCTTCATTTTGTATCTTGAAGTCCCACATTTAGGGCACTTATTCAACTCTTCATAATCATTTCTGAATAATATGCAGTCATTAGGACACGCATGTATCTTCTCATATTCTAAACCCATCAGACACAAAATCTTTTTTGCCTCATACATTAGTTTCAGAAGTGAATTCCCTTTGGGAAGAATATCACTCAGCAATTCAAGCAATTCCGTAAAACTAGCATCGGTCCAACCATTTCTTGCCTTCAAATTCATCAGTTTCAATACGGTTGTCAATCTTGTGTAATCATCTTTGCACCCCGGGTATAAAGGTGTCTCTGCATCACTACACAAAGTTTCAAAGGTGGAAGAAAACTGTGTAGAGGATTCAGACCTTATATCACGAAACATATCCGAAATTCTATCACCAAAGTCTTCATTCACAACCTTCTCATTTGCAGACAGTGTAGTCTTTCTAATTTCTCCATGTCATATCCAATTTGTATACCTCAAATTTATCCCATCACAGATAAGATGCTCTTTTATCTCAGAAATACTCTATTGACTATTGTTTAAACATTTGACACAAGGACAACAATCCATCTCTTTTACTATGAGCATTTCTCTGAGCAAACTCAAGAAACTTTTCAACCCCATCCTCATATTCCTTGCTAATTCTCTTAGCTTTCATCCAACTACGATCCATTGTTCTATAGATTATTTAAACAACACTTTACTATCAATCAAAATTCATAACGAAGAAAAAAAAATACAAAATAACTAACAGATTATTTATTACTAAATTCTTATATTTATTACAAAAAAATTACCAAAAATTCGAAATAAATATAAAAAATTTATAAAAAAATTTAAAAACTTCACAACTAATCAATTCCAAACATTTAAACATATTTCTAATACAGTATATAAAAAGAAATTAAGGTTTTCTCACATCCAATGCCCACCAATCAACACCAATCAACGGTTCAACCACATGAAAAATGCAAAATGAACAATACAAGCCAACCACAATGTAAAACTAACAACCCCATTTCATATATAACAGATTTTCATGGCCAAAACATTCAACAAACCAAGAAAAATTGAAAAGAATGAAAGAAGAGGATACTCACAGAGCAGAGAAGCTTCAAACGCGAAGTGAGGGTGGCGGCGGCGGACGGTGGCAACGCACCACAAGCCCAATGCAGGAGTTTAAACGGTGGGATAGTGGGGGGTATGACCGGTTTTCGGTGGTGGACCACGGCTGAGCAAGAACGAAGGGAAATGAGAGGCGTTCAACCACAGCGGACGGCGACGCACGGCGGCAAGGCACCACAAGCTCAATGGAGGAGTTTAAACGGTGGGAAAGTGGCGGGAATGGCCGGTAATGGCAGTTTTACGGTGGTGGGGCAGAGGGGGACCACAGCGCACTGAAGAAATGAGAAAGAAAGTGACCGAAGTTGAAGTGGAGAAAGGATAAGAGACACACTTTCCACGGCGGTTTTGAAGAAAACCGCCGTGGAAAGTATTTTTAACAGCGGTTCTTTAACTTATTTACAAAAATGCCACCGCATTTTTTACCACATCGTTTTTCTGCTTAACCGCCGTTATTTTGCAACGTTAAATGTCTTTTTTCTAGTAGTGAAGACTCCAATTTCATATATTATTGCTTTTAAATTTTTTATGCGGAATAATATAATTTTTAAATCTAAATTTTATTTTCAGCTATTCATTTAGTTACTAGATTTTGACCTTTTACAAATACCAGAGCTCAGCTGTTCAGATCAAGACCATCCCTTTTTGTAAAGACCAAAAAAAGTAAACTAAGAAAATAAAGAGGATAATTCTGTTTGACTATTTGTATTGATCCTGAAAAAATAAAGAGAACAAAATAATAAGTAATTTAATGATCACAAAAATTTAATAAATAATCATTTCCCTTACAATTAATATTTTAATCAATTATTGTGGATATGCATCGAGTGAGGTGGTGGCCTAGTGGAGTTTGTGAAGGCTGCTTACAATTGAGCATCATATCTGATTTTGATTCAAAAGTAGCGATTCAGCAAAGTACTGGGCAAGACTAGGTAGCGGGTAATACTAACGTGTTATAATTTGAATTGACACACATAAAAGAATAATGCATTTTAAGTGCTTCATTATTTGTTTTCCATCATCATACTTAATATGCAGCGACGTGGTTATGCAAAGAGCAGAGGACATTCAAAATTGAAGGTATCTAGTTTTAACTTAACGGAA